AAAAGAAGTGACGCTGACTCGAGGCGGGGAGATTCTGTGGTGTTGTCACACCACCGTGTACGCTGTTCAGCCGAGCCAGCAGGACAAAACAGCTCCATTTGGGAGTGGCTCCTATCCTACCTCGCTGTCTCAGACATGTTACGGCTACAATTGTTTGATTCCCAATGCCATCATCTAATTTAGCATAGTTTTGGAATTCATTAGCGGGGGAAATGAAGAGAACTAATTGTCAATTTCTATTAAGTTAACTTTTCTCAGTTTCTGCTCTTTCAAGAACTGTTATCAAAAGGCATCATCATTGTAAGAAGAGAGGGAACTGGAATTCAGCAGCAGAGAACAGGCCGACTTTCCATTTTTTGCTTTTCAAAACGTCACAAGCAGAGTTAAGCAAATCCACCGGAAAAAAAAAAACGTAAAAGCCACAATGTTATGACAGTCCTAGAAAACATTATTGTAGCTACCAATTACTTACACTTTTTAACCTTCAGCAAAAAACTGTACTGCTCTAGGCTTTCTTTAAAATCATTACTTTGCAAAAAATGAAAAAAAAAACAACTGCAAGCCAGCCCAGCACCAAAAGCCACAACTCCAAACCAAGTAACCGTAATTGTTTACGAGTAGCCAAAATAAAAAAACTTTCAGTGGAAGTGCAGAGAAAAGATGTATCAAATAGCTCAGCAGCAATTGCTTTGTGCTAGCACATCCCAAGTGCCGCCACGGCAAATGAAACAAACCAAACCTTATCTTCCCAAACTGAAGCTCCATAGCATCAGCTTTCTTTCAGGTAGAAGTTAAACAAAATGTTTGCTGTGGAAGCGCTGGGTAGCTGGCCAAGCACAAGGATTCACAAGGATTCCTGCAAAGGGAAGTAAGGAATTACTGTATAACACAGGAAAGCGGTAATATTGTTTTAAAACAAAAAAAATCACATTTGTGTTTGAAAACTCTTTCTGCCAGTCTGTGAAAACTAATACATTATTTTTCTAGTGAGACATTAACAAGACAGTTCTAATTCTTGTTTAACATTCTCCTTATAACAACTGTAGTTTTACAGCCTTTTCCCATAGGAGTCTCACCGCTGTCCGTAGGCCCAAAGTTCTTCGTGAAATGAGACAAACCCATTGCTATCCTTCATGGAAAAGAAAAGCTTACCCCTTGGTTTTCGTTATAAAACTTGTATGACCCTCCTCACTGGAATTTCTTTTTTTTTTTAAAGCAAAATAGTTAGATGTATGATACCTAAGTATTTTATACTGAGTAAAAGAAGTATCTCTCCAAGCACCAAGCTTCCGTGACTGATAGAAGACACATTTCCAGCAGCATATTCCAAACATTAAAAAAGCAACAATATTGTAGGGTGTTTGTTTGTTTGTTTGTTTGTTTTTTTAAAAACAACAGCTTCTTCTGTTCAAAACACTCTGCTTTGAATTCTATAAGTAAGTCACTCACCAATAAATGAATTCAATATTCTCAGAAATAGCTGCTGATTAGAAGCAGTACGTGAGCCAACACCTGAACCAGAGCGCAGCCAATCGTTTGTGTAACAGGGTGAGCCGAGAGCCACATTTCAGAGCCTGCTTCCAGATGAAATCACATCCTAAAAGACAAGCAGCCTAGCAACTGGCTGGAATTCTGTACTGACAGCGCTGCTGTAGCTGACAGGTGCCTTGCAATCTGAAGCAGTGGAGGTTTCCTGCGTGTCAATAAAAGAAACGTTTCGACTGCAGTGCACAGCAGAAACAGCAATGCTGTCAAACCCCCGATAGTAAATAAAATACTGTTTGCAGAGTTCCTCCTCGTGCTTTCCAGAACTGGCTTGTTACATACAGTGTGCCAGTTTGGAGAGCTTGTCTTTCCGCGTGTTGACAGCTCTGTGGGAATGGTCCAGTGCAGTTCTGAATGTTTGTGCCCCTTCTTTTGTCCACTCCGTTGTCGTGCATCAGGACCGGGGCGTCTGGGTTGGTTCTGCTGCTGCATTTAAGGGCGAAAGGTGCTAATTCTAATGGTAGTAGAGAACAACTTGTGATAATTGAGACTTCTTTTGCCATTGTATGTGTGTGTTCTCCTTTGCTCGAGCCGTGTAGATGGTGTGAACGCACCATTCAAGGCCTGCTATCACTTTCAGGAAAACAAAGCCCAGATACCCGTAATGCACACATACTGTAAACTGGAAGATGCTGTGTTGCCAAATATGTCTTCTAAAACTGATGGCAAAAATACATGGTGATAAGATTAATTTGTAATGCAGCTTTCTGAAGTAGGTCAGGTAAATGTGTTCTAAAAGAGCCTGTTTCTTTCTAGCAGTAATACAGAAGGGTTACTGCAACTACCGAATGCTCTGGACTTAATATCTGTCTGTACGTACCAGGGCCTTGAAACTGTACAAGAAGAGGGGGAGTCAATCAATCCCCCATTCTCTGGGCTGTACTCGGGCACATACCTACCACTTTCTGCATACTGCAGCTGAAGAAGTCACCCAGGTTCTGAACTGGATCCACCATCGCTCAGCCATAGATTTCAGATTCTAGGAAACCACGTTGATACACTTCACATACTTTCAATCAATCTGAATTTAGTAAAGCAAGTAATGACCTAAGTTGAAGTGCATTTGTTATGTTTGCACTTAAAGACAGCCACGCTCCAGGACTGTTATAACTAATTTATAATGTGGCAACCCATGGAACTACAGAAGCACAGAATCACAGACTGGCCAGGGTTGGAGGGGACCTCAAAGATCATGAATCTCCAACCCCCCTGTCACACGCAGGGCCACCAACCTCCCCATTTAATACCAGACCAGGCTGCCCAGGGCCCCATCCGACCTGGCTTTGAACACCTCCAGGCATGGGGCATCCACAGCCTCTCTGGGCAGCCTGTTCCAGCACCTCACCACTCTCATAGTAAAGAATTTTCCCCTGACATCCAACCTAAATCTCCCCTCCCTGAACTTAAAGCCATTTCCCCTTGTCCTGTTGCCTACCCTTTCAAAGAGTTGATTTCCCTCCTGTTTGTAGGCTGCCTTCAGGTACTGGAAGGCTGTAATGAGGTCACCCCGCAGCCTTCTTTTCTCTAAACAAGCCCAGCTCTCTCAGCCTGTCTTCATAGGGGAGGTGCTCCCATCCCCCGATCATCGTGGCTCCCCTCTGGACAACATTCACATATTCCCTGCAAACCGACCAGAATTTCACATACTGAAGTCCTACGCTTCAGTATTTTTTACCTGTTACCATTCATACTGATGCAGTTCTCACGGTGCCGCGCTAAGTAAGCTTTTTCGGTCACTAGAGGGCAACCCACATTCGCGTATAAGAAGCTACCCGCTCCGATAGCCTTCTAGCAACCAAAACGAAGCTCGTAGCAGAACAACTGGGTTTCAGACAAGCGGCTCAAGTAAGGGACCAAATGAAAACAAAACCACGTCTGATCTAAGACTACTTTTACCAAGAGTTTTCCTAGAACCTGTTAACACCTCTGGGCAGCGAGTGAGAGCACCTACCCTAGGTCAGAACAGAATAATACCAAAAAAAATTCCAGAGTGAGCAGCTTGGACCAAGCCAGATACAGCTATTGTGCATTCCAGTCTGAATTGGAAACAGCTGTAGAATCAAGTCCTGAGGGGTCTCAGGTGTACAAGCATCCAATTGTTCCACTTTGGATTGAAACGCTAACACCGCTTAGCCCTCTCAAAACCGGGCAACTGGTTCTATAGTAGGCAGCTTTAAAGCAAAACAAGCGTAGCGAAGGCAATGTGTGATTACACGGCGGCTGAGCCAGTTTTCAGTACTGCAGTGTCAGGTACACGCACGTGAAGTCTGCACTTACCTTTGGAACGCTTTTCCTCTCAGAGCATAACCTGAACCCAAGTGTATCATCATTTGTCACGGTTGTATGATTTTTGGTTATCGGTGTCCCGCATCATAACAGCATATAGCGCACCAGGAGTTAAGAAGTTCATGCTTCAGTTCCATGGATGGTCAATGTGCTGCCAAACGGTGTATTTTATTGAACTGCTCTTGAAGTGAGAAGTCTCGAATGCACGAGTCGTTCCGCTGCAGAACTCCAGACGATCTGTAATTTGTTTTAAGTTGAATCAGTGTAAACTTAATAAAGTATATCAGTGTAAACTTTGTAAATTGTCTTATGTGCATAAAAAGGATCTGTTGGGTCTAAATTATGCCCTCTAAATTTTCTTTCGATATTTTACAGAAATTGAAAACAAGAGTGGGTTGATACACCGCAACTCATTTTTCCACTATTTTCTTCATGCAAAAACACATACAATTTTTTTTTTTTTTTTAGCAAGACAGAGTTGTAGGCAAACAATGCTTAAAAACACACACGCATCCCTGCGAAGGAATTCCCATTTGCTTATAAACTGCCTTTGTCTTTCTGAAGTATAAAACTGGCTATAAGATGCCACGGCTGATTCAGAGGAATCACGCTCGGTGATGTTTTACCTAGTGTTACTTTAACAAAGAATTACTGCAATGATTAGAAACAGTGGGGGGAAAAAATTTGCTTAGAAGTTTGCTCAGGCATTCGAGACGCAAGAGAATTCTACAGGTGACAGAAGCCTTTCAAACAGCCAAAATCAGAGCTGGCAGCTCTAACTTTTGGAGCCAAAAACCCCGCTAAGGAGGCACCGATGTTGTTTCTCCACACACTATGATGCCTTCACACTACCTGAAATTACTTCCCCGAACCTCCCGTACCGTTTTCCCTCACAGCAGAGCATAAATTAAAAAGTCCAGGTTTTGCCAGAAGTGTTTCATCATTCCAACTAGCCACGCTGAAATTTTAGAGATGTATCTCTTTATTTGTTTCACTCAGGAGCTGCTTAGAGTGAGATCACTAATTGCTCTCCTTCGTGCTGAACTCCAAGAAAACTATCCTGTTGACCTCAAAGATCAAGGAATCGGGCTCACAGGGCTCACACGGGACTGATTCCTGGACTTTTAGGGAACCACTACGCATTGATGATGTTAACCTACCTTGAAGTTACGAATGAACTAGGCCAGGGATCTGTCATTAATGCCTATTTGAATTGTAAGACGTGATGAAAAATGGATCTGTATTTAGATCACTCACTTGGACATTTCTCTGAAATACTTTATCGGCCTGTACTATGCCCTCCGTAGTCCATTTCTATTTTGCACATCAGTAAAACCTGTAGACAATAGAGGATTGCTGAGTAACAAACACACATTCGCTGTCACGGAAATGACAATGACTTCAAGTGTTAAGATGAGGAAAACCGTCAAAAATAGAAGGGCATAATTCAAGAAACCGTTACGCACCCCAGAGGAGGGAGTTCTGTGGATTTAATTAAAAACCCTACAGAACACATGACCGTCAAGTAAAGCACACCCCGCACAATTCCATAAAACCTTCCCCTTGTGCGGGTGATATTCCGTTATGCGCAGGAGAAAGCAGAACACAAAGGGACAATGGCAAATTAACAGGGGACAGACCTTTTCATAGCACAAAATTCTATTATTCGACAACCAAGGAATTCGGACAGAAAGGATGAAATGAGAAGGAAAAAAAAAAACAACAAAAAATACCCCAAGAAGAGGTCTCATTTGTTTCCAGAGCAGTTAGGACAGCGAGTATACAATGGTAATTAAGCTATTATTTAATGACAAGAGTAAAAAAGAAGGGATTGCTAAAGAAACCTCACCGACACCTAGTCTCAAAAGGCACGCATCTTAGAAAGCACTCGAGTAAGTGGCCAGAGAACTTTTCCTTACGCTGCGTTATTCAAAATCAAATGATCCAACTTATCTCTGTGAGCACTCCATTTGCCTTTTCTCTAATCTCTTCATTCTTTTCTCACTGGACTCAAGTACCCTTCACGGCTTTGGACAGGAGTGAAGGAAAGGAAACCTTTCACGTTTGAGGGGCGAGGGAAAGCAAAGCCGAGACGGCACGCAGCGGGGGCCTCTGGAAACCTTTAAGGCCGGGGACGTTCTTGGGAGGGGTGATTCTCTATCTATTTCTATCGCTCCATTTGTGTCAGACGCGAAGTGACCCCTTTGAATTAGGCACAAATGTTTAACTTAACTGACGAATCCCACAGCGAGGTGAGGAGGATAAGCACGTTACAAACTCCAGCGTAAAGTGTAATGTAAGCCCTGAATTCACATTTAGAGTCCACGTGTCTACCTGTCAGGGCCGTAACGAGGCCCGGCTGCGACTCCCAGGTGCCGGGGCCGCGGCCGCCCGGGCGCAGCTGCGGCTCGTCGGGAGCCCAGGGCACGGCCCCCCTCCGACGCCTTTTAAGCTCCGCCGGAGGCTGCGGGGAGCTACCGGGCGATTTCTGAGGATCCTGTGCCTGTCGGTGTGGGTTTCTTTCCTTCCTGAAGTGCTGGCGCTACGGGGGTTGAAAAGCAGCGCGGGGATCTGCTTTGTCAATGCAACGGTGGGGTTCTGTTTAACGTTCTCTGTTTGTTGTCTTGTTTCAGGCTGCTGTGAGTCCTTTGGCGGTCAAGATCAGCCCGAACCGGTGAGCGCTTCTGATAGCGATGGCACAGTGGAGTCGGAGAGCCCGGGAGTCGTCACGGGTTCCCGGTGTGCGGCAGGACTCTGCCGGGCCGTCGCCTCGCTCTTTTCGGGGCCGGCGTGGGAGCTGCCGCCGGGCTCCCTTCGGAGCCGGTTTGTCGTCGCTGCCCGGCTCCCGTCGCTTTCCCAGAACGAGCTGCCGCTCGGTTTCTCGAATCCTTGCTATCCTAGCCCAGCCCCGGGGTGCTCTCAGCCCCCACGAGGTTCTTCGGGGCACCGCTTTAGTTTTTCCTGCTGTCCTCGATGGGAGCGAGCGGGATTCTTTCCAGCCCCATTCCTGCAGCCTCGGTGCTGCCGGGAGCAGGAAGCAACGCGAAGGGCTGCAGAAAGATTTTCTTTTTTTGCAGGCTGAGCGAGGGCTGCGGCGGATTTTCTCGTCAGTCCGAACAGGTGAGTTTAGGAGTCCTTAAGTAAGTTCTCTCTTTCGGGGGTTTGTGTAGGGTCGCTTTCACGTAGCTCTTTAGAAGGGCCGGCACGGGGCTGCCGCTCGACTGCCCGAGACCGAGCCCGGCCCCGGGGCGGCCTCAGCCTCCGAGTAGGGTTTTGCGGGTGCTTCAGTCCCTCTCGCTTCCAGTAGCAGGTGCTGACAGGGTGGGACAGTGTATTCCTCTCCCCGCCCTTTACGTCTAAAACCAGGAGCATCACGTTGCTCCCGTTGTGGAGACACGGCAGGGCAACTTGCACGACAGGCATGCTGTCGAGGATGGCTGTGTTCTTATTATAAAACTGTGTTCTTATTAGGGAAGTCAGACCAGCGAGGTGGTGGTTGAGCTTTTCCAGTGAGAGAACAGGGATGTATTGAGCCCTGCCTACTGAGGAATGAAGAACTAGCAGAGCAGTTGCCCGTGAGGCTGAAACAGCAGGTAAATGTGTGTTACAGGGGGGCGCTGGTTACAGACCAGCATGAGGATGTTGATGACAATTTCTGCACACAGCTTAAAGTAGCCTCACAGCTGTAGGCTTTTTTTTTTTTCCTCACAGTAAACTGGAGCCACTGTGCCAGCTGTCAGCTGGGATATCAGCAAGGATAGCAGGTTATCATTCCAGGGGTTTCCTGCAATGTGTTGAAGGTAAAAAGTTCTGACACGGGTGATGGAGGAGCGCCTCTGGAGCTTGCTCTCCCTGTTGCGGAAGCGAAGCGTAGGGGTGGCCTCGAGCACGACTGAATTCTGGATGTTGTGTGGAGGATGAAGAGTGGGACTTGCAGGAAGACAACTTAGTCCTCCCAGAGGACTTATGCGGAGGTATGTCCTGCTAGAGCATCAGAAGGGGTCCTGTGAGCAGTTGTGGACACTGGAGCATTGCTACATCTGCATTTCAAAGAGTAGAAGCCGAGCAGAAATGGCAGGAGATCTGTGGGGGTGAATGAGGAGCTTGCCAATAAGCTCAAGGGGAGAAGGTAAAGATGCGATGAGGAAGGCTATGGCTCACTAACAGTATCACCGTTGGGTGGGGGATCAGGGCTAACAGAAATTGTTTGTTTCTCAACAGCAGTAAGGAGACTAGGGAACAGTGGGCCTCTGCTATACAAAGGAGGGGGGGGCCCTGGTGATGGAGGATGTGAGAAAGAGGAGGTACCAAATGTTTGTTTTCAATTAATTTCTTTTTTCCAGTGGTTGCTGCTGAGATTGCTCCTTGATGATACCCGAGGAAAGCCTTTGAGGAAGGGTGACTTCCTGTTGATTGCAGAGGAGCTGGTCAAAGGTGAGATAAGTAAAATGGTGTGCAGATCCCTGGCCCTAATGGGATACGCCTGAGAGTACTGTGGTAGAAGCGATTGCCACCTGGCTGTCTATCACTTTCCCTATGGTCTTTCTTGTAGGAAAGATGCGTGAGAACTGGAAGATAGCTGGTGTCGCTGCAGCCTTCGGAAGGGGTGAGGATGGCCCGCGCAAAGGTAGGCCAGTTGACCTCGACTCCATCCCCCAGAAGATGATGCAGCAACTTCTAGATAGCATTATCGAGCAGCAGGAAGAGAAGGAACTTGTAAGGAGTACTTCAGGTGGATTTGCTGAGGGGAGATCACGACAGACCAACAAGGTAGCCTTGTGTGTTGTTGGTACTGTTTTGGTTTTGAGAGAAGGCTGGAGGATGTCGCCGGGGGAACATGGCTACTGCTACAAATATCTGTAGTGCAGGAGTCTAGCCGATGGAGATGGGCTCATCTGCAGAGCAATGGGAGCAGCTTTGAAGGACTTGCACTGCAGAAGCTCTATACAAAGGGAAGGAAGAATGACTTCACCGTGTGAGCGACAGAATAGGCTGCAGAGTCTGCTCCTCTGGGGCCGTTCCGGTCGCTTTCCTGGGCGATGGGCGGCTTCAGCAAGGGAGCGGGACGGTTGTGATGCCTGTGGCTCTGTAATGGTGTTTATTTTGCAGGGTGAGGGCTGCAACAGGTGCCGGTCAGAGGATGTTGACGGAGGTCTTCCTACAGGTCTGGAGTGAGGTGAGTTTTGTCTTCTTGCCCTGCCCCCGGGATGGAGTTCACGGCTGGGATTGGGCGCTGGTATGCTTTTGTTTCAGGCCTGAAAGAGTGGCAGATCTTGGGGATCTACTACAGGAGGAAGGGAGTTGGAGGAGCGAGAGGTGAGAGATGCGCCCCAAACAGCGGCGGCGGGGCTGCGGCAGCCCTTTTCTGCTGGAGTTGGTTGTGTTGGTGCTGTTTGTGTTACAGGGGTGGTGTGTTGTCTCTTCAGGTGAAGCGGAGCACTCCAGAGTTGGGTTCTTCTTTCAGCGCCGGTGCCTCAAGAGCAAGGTTGCGATACTGGCGTACGTGGAAGTGGCAGAGCTTACAGGTAGGCTTGCGTTTTTTATTTCATAGGGTCCTGTTGACTTTTAATGTTTTCATTGGAGTTGGATTTTGAAAGAGGGTTCTGGATTTGAGGTGATGGGGGTAATGTTGAGTTGTTGGTGCTAGGAACGGCGATTTGGCGTTGGTTTGTTAGTCAGTTGGTTTGGTTTTTTTCTTGGTGCTGGAAAGCCTAAGTTGGAATTGGCTTGTATGTGAGGTTTCTTTTTTGTTTCCTTCGGTGCTAGAAACCGAAAAAGGGAATTGGCTTGTGTTCTGTTTTAGTCTTTGGTCCTAGAAACAGATTTGGTGTTGGCTTGTTTTTTCTTGGTGCTAGAAGCTGTAATTAGGAGTTGGCTTGTTATGATGTTTTTTTTTTTCTTGGTGATAGCAATTGAAATGTGGTGTTGGCTTGTTAGTCAGTTTGGTTGTTTTTTCTTTGGTGCTAGAAACTGAATGTTGGCATTGGCTTTCGTTACGTTTTCTTTCTTTGGTGGAAACTGAGATTTGGTGTTGGCTTATTAGT